TGCCAGAGGATGGCAAAACGGAGGACTGCCGTTAAGAAGCGCTCTTGCTGGAGCACGGTGAGGTCTCTGTATGTGGTAGCAGTGTACCGTCTCTCCATCTCGAAGGGCGCTGACAGCCTAGCCGAAGATTTTCAGCAGTGAACCCTGTGTTTGGCTTCTGGGAGGGCAGGAAACTCATTGCCTGGCAGCAGCTCTTCCAAAAGCCTTTGTGACCTTTAGGAGCAGCACCAGGGGACGGCTCCCGCTGCTGGGGGGCAGCTGGCAGCACCCAGGGGCTCTTTGCTCCCAGCCTTCTCCTTGCAGGCAGCGGAGCCTTGGTGCCACGCGCCACTGTGTGCTGGCGAAAGGTTTCCTTGGCCCGACCATGAGCCAATGCTCAGCCCCAATCGCAGGGGGTTGGTCAGGCTGCCGGCTGCTCTGCCCAGTGCCCATGCTTTGGGGACACTAGTGACACTGAGGCTCCTGACAGCCCTGGGCACTTCTCACACTGCATCCTGCGTCTCAGCAGGCTTCGTGGGCTTGGTGTTACAAGTGCCCGGAGTGGCATGAACCTATCCCCCATCGACCTAAGTTAGCTGTTAACTAAAGTGGGAAATGTCAAAGTGAGAAAACCTTGTGTGAGTCACTCCGGCCCCTTCCCACCCCTATCGGCTGTCCGTGGAGCAGGGTGCTGGTGGGAGGAGAGCTCTCCTCTCCCTTCCCAGGTGCTTATGTCGGGCTCACGGTTTTCAGAGCCTGAGAAAAACGCCAAAGACATGGTATCAGGGTCCTGCCACAGGGTGGAAACCCGTTCTAGCCGGGGCGTGTGGCTTTCCTTGAGCCTCTGCTACTTCTGCAGGCTTCAGACATGCAGCGAAGGCTGGGGCAGGGGGGCTGTGGAAACAGCCGTGTCTCTGCTTCCTTGCTGTGTCCTGAAGAGCAATTCATGGGTTAGTTTGCAAGAGATAATGTCTCTTCAGGGAGGAGGATCCTTTTTCCCAAATATTTGTTTCTGTAATCTGGCTCGGAGTGTAGTGTTCCTGCAACATCCCTTTCTGTGTTTCTGACCAGGACTTTGCAAAGAAAATAGAACCGACTCCTGCATCCTACCCCCAAAACACCTGGCTGCGAGGGACAGTAATTATGTTTTCCAAAGGACGTAGCTGAGCTCCTCAGCCCCCTCCTCACCACGGCCAGCACAGCCTCCGGGATTCCTCCGTTTGGGAGGCAGGAATGAGCTTCCCAGGTTTGACAGGGTTATGAACAGGCTTATGTACGTGGGCAGCTTAACACGGAGGCTGTCAGCGAGTGGGTGGCCGGGGTGGGGTGAAGTCTCCCGCTGCAGGGCCAAATGCTGTTGAGTGCTAAAATCCTCCAGGCTGAAGTGCCCCTCACCCTGCTGTCTGGGCGTAATCCTGCTCCTGTCACAGCCATTGGCAAAAGTCCCGGTGACCCTCGGTCTCTGCAGTCCTCTGCTCAGGAGGGCTTACTTGCTGTTTCCTGCAAATTGAATTACCAGAGAGCTGATTGGATTGCAAACAGGTTTAGAAAACGTTTTCACTGTTGCTTTTTAGAATATCTTTTACCAAAGTTAAATATAGGAACTGGCCCTGACTCGGGAAGGCTCGGGCTGCAAAGCCTGATGCAGTACCAGCCCTACAGAGGCTGGAGCTGGGGCATCCAGGACGGGGTGGCGAGAGGGAAACCACCCTGCGTGGAAAAGCTGGAGCATAGAAGGCCGTCACGTGCAGCCAAGCGGGACGAGGGTGCGAGACAGCCAGGGGCGCGAGGCCGGGCCACCTCCGGACTGTAGTGACAGCCGCGTGCATGGCCCGGCACCCGCCCCTGCCTGGCCCCACCGCAGGGAGCCGCTGCGTTTTGGAG